ACATCAACACAAACCAAGAATACAAACACAGAAGCACTAAGTCACACGTTATTTAATTATAATGGGTATACATTTCACCCAAAATATTCTAAGACTCCATCATTGACCTCCTGACATACGCATTTTGTTTGTGTGTTTTTCCAAGGATAACTAACACAAATATAAACTCAGTTAACAGAATTCAATCTAGTTTGTGGATCATTTTGTTGAGATCTGTAAAGTTATCTATGCATAGCCAACATATACATTGATTTTTGTGACAGTGTGTGGAGGCTGAATCATGAGACATCAGCTAACAGTAGGTAGACTGGATTCACTCACTTGAAATCAGCTGTAATATGGGGATCCAGGGAAAAAAATCAGGACCAAGGGGTCGGCCACTGCTTTTTTTTTCCTTTTACCTGCAGTGTTGGTTTTATATATTCAGATAATAGCATTTTCCTGACATTGTGTGTGAGCCAGGTACCCTTGAAGCAATGTTCAGGTCAGAGCAGCAGCCTGATGTTTGGACCTGAGTTAAGCAAACCGTGATGCCAGCAAGGAAGGGGCTGTATGCGTGAGTGTAAGCCCAAAGAAGACACAGTCTTTTTGTTTTTTGTACTTGTTTGTTTGTTTTTTTTTTGAAACGCAATTTCTGAATGGAAAGAAAAGAGCTAATGTGGTGCAATAGTAAATTATATATTTTAAACAATGGAAATTTTATATTTAAAATTTTGATTACTCTTTTCCAGCTAGAGTTGGCAATTGAGCACAAGGGGTGTATAATTACTCTACAAAATATTTTAAACAATTTGTGAATAAGATATATTGATTCTGCATATTTACAATAGGCTGTTATATACTTAAGTCTTACCCCAGGGGTTGTAGGGAAAGCTGAGCTCCCAAAGTCCAAATGAGGAGCAGAAGAAGGGAGAACATGAGCAAGGAAGTCAGGACTACGAGGGGTGCGTCCACCCACTGAGATGGTGGGACTTATCTAATGGGAGCTCACCAAGGCCAGCTGGACTGGGACTGATGAAGCATGTGATCAAACCGGACCCTCTGAATGTGGCTGACAATGAGGGCTGACTGAGAAGTCAAGGACGTTGGCACTGGGTTTTGATTCTACTGCATGGACTGGCTTTGTGGGTGCCTGGTTTGTTTGCATGCTCACCTTTATAGACCTGAATGGAGCGGGAGGACCTTGAACTGCTCTTAGGACTGGAGAGGGAGGAGGAGGGGGAGGGGGATGGAAATAGGAGGTGGGGAGGAGATGGAAAATTTAAATAGATAGATAGATAGATAGATAAAATAAAAATCTCAGGTTGTTCTCTCCCTCAGATCTACAGTAAAATCCATCACCTCAACCATTAAATAAATAAATAAATAAAAGCAAGTGTGGCATAGCTCTATAAACAGCACATGCCAAAAGAGTTACCCAAAGTCAGGGTATCAGGCTAGTTTTTAAGTAATAGAAATAGACACCATTACTTTAAATTACTGTTGTAAAACTGGTGCCTGTTCTCTAGGTGACCAAAGCCTTATTTCCTACATTAAGTATTTAATAAAAAATAAATAAAATCCCCATCATGCCTATTTGTTAGTTATGTCAAAAGCCATGTTTTCCACAATAAGGTGTCTTTTTTTCTGAATATTGAGGTTGCTGTAATGGTGAAGAGTCTGCTAGCAACAGTGATTATAAAGAAGAGTCACTAGTTTCCTTTCAATAACTCCTATGACTGTTAATGGTAAATTTCTTCAAATTATGGGTATACAAACTTGGTGATCAAATTGTTGATCTTGATAAGGGTTTAGTCATGTATAAAATGATACATATTTATTCATACACACATGTGACACTTCTTTATGACTGCCAGCATCCATGCTTTATGAATTGTAGTAAATCTATGCTGTTCTCTATAACTTAAAAGCGATTCCGTGTGACCCATGCCTCACTCCCTGACATCAAGGATGCAATTGGGAAGGGTGAACTCATCAGACAGAAACATGATTCCTGCCAGGAAACGCTGAGTTTTTCACCCAAGTGTGTATATCTGTGTGGAGGCATACATTGAGAATTCATGTAAAACCACTATTTTTCATCATAGAAATCTTTGGATGCTTTAGTTGTCTGGGTAACTTCCTAAAACTTAATCAAATGAAGCAGGAAGTAGATTAACTTTGAGTTTTGGTCACTCGGCACTGTCTGAACCTTTGTGTATAAACAAACTAAAAACATTGACAGCACAACTATGTATTACTTACGACTATATATTTATATGTGTGTGCATGGTATGCACAAGCATCTGTGTTAACATGCTAAACCCATTGCATGCATGTGTGACTACAGAATGTACATATACATACTTCCCCTAGAAGCGCAGGATGACATTTGACACAGATGTTGTCTGCTATTTATTTCATGAAACAATTCTGGCAAATATTTCTCATTTTTTAAATTAGACTATGAGGCAAAGATCTGACAGTAACAACAGAAATATTCTAAGTAAATAATACTTGCATACAAGCCTAGCTTGCATTATTTTGATTTATGCACTCAGAAAAAATAAATACATATGACCCAGTCTTATATGGTGTGTCTTCATTTTCCTGAGAAGTGTCCTTGCTCTGTCCTGAATAAGTTACCCTCTCTAAAATTTTTTAAAACTTCAAATGCATGCTTATAACTCTGCTATCCTCCCAAGTGAAGCTTGCAGAGAATGTCTAGTTAGTAGTTTGTCTATTAGTACAAACAAAATCAATTCTGTCATGAGGCAAGCAGGAGATGGATTTAATTTTTGAAAAAATAATTGAATATTTTTCTAATATGATTGTCTTCATTCTGTGTTCTGCGTATTTCTGGATGGCCTCCTTCCTAGAACACAGAAGTTTTCTGAGTTTCCACTTCTCTTTCTCCCAAGACTTTCAGACTCCCCCAAGTGGATAGCAGAGAAATTTAGTCTCTAAATAACAGACACTTCATAATGAGTTTTAATCAATCCACATCAAGTATTTTCTAATTGAAGCATGATACGTGGCAATAATTCTTTTTTTGATAAATTTATCACTCCCCTGCTATACCCTATAATTTATAATTTACTCAAGTGACTACCACCTGTCTTATCACGACATCCCATTTTATCTTCTTTGGAAAAGTGAAATCAAACTGTCAGATTCATTTAAGTACCATATTATGGCTTACTGGGGTCATTGCTACAGAAAATTCTGTGTATAGGAAACAAAAACTGGACCGTATTGCATAGCTGACCCATTGATACACGAGATAAACACAGCTATATCAGACTGCAGTTTACTCTGACACAGGGGCATCAGAATGTCTGGAATCTGCTTTAACCAATTAAACCTTTCAAGGCAAAAGGAAAATAAAGCCTTCAGTAAATCCATTGAAGGCACCATCTCGCAGCCTCCCATGCCTGGTATCGATCTTCTTAAGTGCCGAATAATGAGTCCTATGGTAGTAGCAGATCTATGGTGTGTGTATCTGATGCGGTGCCCTCACTCCACTGCCTCTGAGGAGCTAAACTTACACAGATAGAAGATCACCTGGGAGGGGTTGGGGCAGAAGCAGCCCTGGCTGATGGCTGCCTTGACCCTTTAAAGTCCAGCCCCAACCTGTCTCCGCTAAAGGCAGCAGACCCTATTCCCTACTTTCCGTGACAAACGCAGTAGTTTGTGTGCAGGTTTCCCTGTCAGGTCGCTTCTAGGGCGAAGGCTTCTGCTTTTGTTCAGCACCTCTCTTGCTCCGGAGCTCCTGGCAGCAGCTTCTCTTGCCGCAAAGCATCCTTTTTCCTCTCAGCTTTGGCAATTTAGGAAGAACTGATGCTCCCAGGGGAGGTGGATGAGGGGAGAGCGCCAGGAATGGGAACACATCCATCAGGAGTCCCTGCGTCTCCCTGCTCTCCAGATCCACTCGCGTCGCCACAATTCCCCTCCCCCAAGCACATAGCACTTGTGATATGTGTAACTGGGGGCGTGGGGGTGCGGGGCATTCACCCTCCATACCAAAGATGCTTCAAAGCGCAGACTCCCATAAAGCCAAACCCAGCGGCACCTGGCACCTGCCCCGATTCGCTGCAATTGGAAGCGGACGGCTTGGGTACTGAATTATTAATTTATTTATTTCCCTCGCGCCCCCGCCCTCATCCCAACCCGCAGAGCAGAAGCCACGGTCGCGTCGATTTCCCCACCACCACCACCACCCTACCCCCCCACCTCCGCCCGCACCTCGCAGGAGTCTCGCACTTGTAACTGGCCGTCGCCTCCCGGCCCCTGGCGGTCGCGACGCGCTCCCACTCGTGGCCAGGCTGGCGCGGCCGTGGGTCCCGGCGGCGGGGGAGGCAGGGGGGAGGTGGCGGGTGACAGATGTACTCCTCTGACAGCTCTCAGTATCAGCCCAGTGGCTCCCTGCCATTGGCTCAGTGCGATGGACCGGCAACGCCGCACACTATAATAACACTCATGCCTGCCAGCGGCAGCGACTGCAAGTGCGGGCGCCCAGCGCTGGGGATGCTGTGGCCGCTGCTACTGCCGCGCGGGCGGCTCCCGTTGCCCGGCTGCGCCCTACAGCGCGGGCTCTAACCGCTCCCGCTCGGTC